GGGTGTCCCCCAAGGCCTAGTTCTTAGGTTTTTTTTTTTCAAATTTAAACTAAAATTCTGTCCTCGCACAAATTTTGGTATTATGTACTGTTTTGTTGGTAAATTAACTTACTACTTGCTGAAAATGACAAAATTTTAATTAATGTCCAGACTCAAACAAGCACCCACCTCGAATAAGCACCTAGAGCGTATAATTGAATATGGGCCTTTTTCGATAGGCCTTTTTAATACTCTTTGTTTTCTCTGCAAAAGTTTGAATAAGTATTGCTTTCAGCTTTTCTTGGGGGTGATTGTTGCTCTCTCAAGAAAGTAGTACCAGGCATGTGCAAAACTTTGGAGGGAAAACAAAGAGTATGGTTGTATTTTTGAAATTGGCCTATTGATACATTGACACAGCGCTATGTGTGGCCATATGTGAAACAGTGGGCCAGTTATTTAAACGGCGTTTAGGTAGAGTTTTAAGAAAATGCGTTTTATGCCATTTTTTGTTTGGTGAACGCTTTTATGTAAACACCCTTTATTGTGACAGTCTCAGTAGCGCATATAACGTCGACAAGAAAAGCATTTGTCTTTAAAGAATGCACTAGAGATTTGGTCGGTCCAAAGATCTCCTAAACTGCTGCCAAAGTTGGACTTCGTTTAAATAACCGACCCAATGTGTCCAAGTTTCCAGGGCCGTGTATGATAATAAAAGATTGCACTTGGCTGTTTGGCTGTAAATGAGTTGATGAGTGCAGCTGTTTAGGGCTGCACAGACAATAGGTATGTTAAAGTGCCAAAACTTCCACCAAATCAGTTATAAATACGTCCCAAGCTTAACTAGCTCCTGAGCAGGTAAACTCTGTTTGTGGTTTCAGGACTGTACAAACCGCAGGTCTTTGTATTTTCCTTATGTAATAGTTATTACTTTTACTATGACATAAGAGAACATATAATTTTAAACGTTTGGAAAAAGAACTATTAGATAAAAGAAGTAAAAAAAAACCAAGGTCATAAACGAGTTGTAAGGTACTTGTCAGAGTTAAATAATAGCCCATAATCCCAATAAAATATTTTAATTCTTACTTAAATCTGAGGGTTTCTGGTAATTTTTTCTAACTTTGGTGTTCTTGGTGTTCAAGCCTCGTAATGTAGTCTCTTATGATAACGCAGGGCTGTTTAGGACTATGTAGCCCTGTGTCCGGGTATACAGGGCTATGTGGGATTGCATAGAGTTCTGTTCGGCTATGTAAGGTTGTGTAGTAATATGTAGGGTTCTGTAGAGCTATGTAACGCTACGTAGAGCTATGTAGGGTTATGTAGGGTTGTGAGGGGATTATAGGGCTATTTGTAAAATGCAACTAGTGGTCTATTATCAATGCTGCGTTCTGATTGGTTGCGCTACTACTAGGCTAGATGTTACAGCCCACTATTAGCGAAACGCGCCAGCTTTGAAAATCAAGACAATGGCATATGTATGGGTATGTATGTCTATGTACAGCTATATTTAAGCAACAGAAAACGTTTTCTGTTGGCATAGTTCCATATAAACACAAGAGGGGTTGGGAGAAAACGAGACAGTTATTCAAACCCGAGACGATTCGTCTCGGGTTTGTATAACTGTCGAGAATTCTCCCAGCCCCTCGAGTGTTTATATCAGGCTATGCAAACACAGGAAATAAGCTTTCCATTGCTTTTATAAAATAACTTTCCTGAGAAAAAACACAACACTCTTTGTACGGCACTGATTAAAAGATAAATCCCAACCAGTCGCAAAGTCTTGTCCACGAAGTGTTGTGCACGTGTAACTAGTTATGGCTATGTAGGGCGTAGTTACTAAAACAAGGAATGACCTACAATGACCTACAATGACCTACAATGATCTACAATGACCTACAATGACCTACAATGATCTACAATGACCTACAATGATCTACAATGATCTACAATGACCTACAATGAGCTCCTATGACCGAACGTGTAATCCCTGTAATGAGCTAAAATGAAGATTTTAGAAAAAGACAAAAAAAAAAAAGATCAGGGGACGTGTGCCGTAGTTACTAAAACAACGAATAACCTACAATGACCTACAATGACCTACAATGATCTACGATGAGCTACTACGAGCTACAATGAGCTACTACGAGCTAAAATGAGTTAAAATAAGCCCTACAATGAGCTACAAAATGACAGACAATGATGTTTGTCGTGTGTCACGCTTTGACGTGACACTAGGCTTATAGTATTAAATTGCCAATCACATTTTGAAAAGGCAAAACAAAAATTGTGCCTTATCTCAGGTAACTTGAGAAAGTTGAAAATAGATTATTGCAATCGCGTTTTTACCGGTATAGCACTATTATACCCTGTCTTGACGGAAGTCATGCAGGTACTCCCTTGGTATGGGCCGCTGAGCAGGATATGGATTTTACTACTTAGCTTTACAAACAGAGCATCCTGTTGGACCGAAAGCCATTTAAAGGGTCTTATGACGTGTTATACAGGCCAGGGTACTTGAAAAAAAATGAACAATTTTTCTTTTGAACAGGGTCAGAATTTGAAGGCCTCCTTTGTTCATCTCTACCCTTACGTCCCTTGAAGATCCCCCCGGATCGACTGTTGGGGTGACTGTGTTTGTTCAATTTGTTTGAAAAAAAGACAAGACAAAATAAAACTAACGCGAAAGGTTGCAAGGGATGGTTTGGACAAAAGTCACAGTATCATCATACATGTATTATTACACTGTAAATTTATCTCCAAGCGTAATAATTAGAGATGCTGCCATCGTTAAATGGGCTGTCATGCAGTAGACTAAACGTGTTACGTTTACGCAAACATGTACCCTGATCTTTTTTTTTTTTTTTTTCCTAAAATCTTCATTTTAGCTCATTACAGGGATTACACGTTCGGTCATAGTAGCTCATTGTAGGTCATTGTAGATCATTGTAGATCATTGTAGGTCATTGTAGATCATTGTAGGTCATTGTAGGTCATTGTAGATCATTGTAGGTCATAGTAGGTCATTGTAGATCATTGTAGGTCATTGTAGGTCATTGTAGGTCATTCCTTGTTTTAGTAACTACGCTATGTAGGGCTATGCAGAGCTATGTATACGGACAGCATGGCGCGCGACGGACGTGCCTTGTGTGTCTCTCCGTAATTGTTTTTTCGTTTTGGGTTTATACCTTCAGAATGGAGGAGATCAAAGCAAAGTATATTATTACTGATTTTAAGGAGAAATCAGGAAAAAGGAAACTTCTGAAGTTTGAATCTATTGACTTGGATATTTACAAGCCCTCAGCACATTGCGCCTCATTCCTGACATCACCAGATCGAATCCATTACTGGATCTACTCTTTCCAACAAAGATATTATGAAACACTCAAGGACAGCACACACTTCAAAGTAATATGGATTGACCATGAAGAATCTTCTGGTACAACCACCTTTCAAGACATCGAAATCAAGATTTTGAGTACATGTATCGCTGAAGATCATCCACACGCGAGCGGTGACCTAAGCCAGTCTGCCTCTCGTGATGATGAAACTAAATCTACCCTAATCACAATTCACGCATATCTGACGACTGGAGTTATTATGTTCCAGGGAATTGCTTACAAACTGTGGGCAGAACATGAATTCCCTCTACTAAAGGATTTCACAGACACATCAGTTGACCAAGCTCCGCAGGAGCCTTTATTCACGTTTGAAGATACCGAACTCCTTTTCAAGAACCTGGATACGGCGGTCTTGTGCCTACCTACAAACAAAACAAAATCTCTGAAGAAGAGGAAAGCCGACCAACCTGGCACATGCACCGAACAGTTCGACCATGCTTTCCCAACTAATCTGAAAACAAAATCAGATATCGGTGAAGACAACATGGCCAGTTGCGCAACACCTCAGCCCCGGAAGAGAAGGAATTCGCTTGACTCCCTTAACCCCCAGACAAAGCAACAGCATCGCAACTCTGAAAGAATTAATCAGCAAAATCGAAGCGGATGTGGCAGAACTCAGAAACGCAAACGATCATCACATAGAGGAACAAGTATTCGCACTAGAAGACAAAATCACACAAATGGGAAACTCAACCAAAGTAGATTCTCAGACCCTTCATTCTAGGATGCAGGACCTGGAAACTGAAAATGAATTCCTTAAAGCAGAAAACGCCAAAATGAAATCGGAGAATTCTAAACTCAAAGCGGACATACACTTTATTAAATCAGAAATCAAGCAAATTAAGTGCCTTCTGCAATCCAACAACTCTTCAGAAAATAGCACTGGCAGTAATACAATCAATGGCCCAGCAGGGCGTTCTGATCTGTCTGATCACAATAGCCAGTCTCTACCGACAATGGAAACAAATCCCCCCTCGGAACAATCTCAATATCCAGAAGATGCCTCAATTCCTTTATCAAACAGTTTCTCAGGTCTGATGGATGACGATCCAGGTGACGGCGATATCCACACGGCTTCACCTTCGCATTCACCTAATGATGTCCGTCACGTCACTCAGGAAATCCTCACAAGGAAAGAAAACGAAAAATCCCAAACAAAATCGCCCTCCTCAGCATGAGAAAAACCAGTCCACCATCAATTCAATCATCATGCTAATTGACTCTAATGGCAAATACATTGATTGTGAGCGCTTCAGTCCGAGAACCCCTACCCACCAATATTTCACACCAACTATTACATCAGCCACTGATCTTCTTACAACAAATGATCTCGGCAATCCAAGCCACATCATCATACACACTGGCACAAATGATTTAGAAAAACTGCACACTTCACAATGCATTAGTAACTACCATGAACTACTCAAACTTGTTTCTGAGAAACACTCATCGTCAAAAGTTATCGTCTCATCGCTCCTCATCCGCGCAGACGGTATCGATAAACAAAGGCAAGAATTTAATACAAAACTTGGACATCTCTGTGCCCCATACCCAAATGTCCATCTAGTGAATAACGACAATATCACTGTTGAAAATCTTTACGACAGCAAACATCTAAAACGCAAGCGAATTGGCCTCCTAGTGACAAACTTGAAGGACACTGTTTTCAACAGACTTAGGAGAATCCAATCAAGGAACTTACCGTCTAACCTCAACACTCGAGTACTAGACCTACCACCATCACCGACGAGCAGAATTTTATCAACGCCTGGTCAACGAGAGTTTCTCCCTCGAGTTCCTGTCCCTGGAAACAACCACCTTGGCCTGGGTGGAAAACCCCTTTACTCGTCGGTGGTGAAACGTAACGCCACAAATCCGCCGCCACTGAACATTGAAACCGTATTAAATTTACTAAACCTTTATGAAACAATGCGTCAAAATTAAGGTATTTATAGTTAATTACTTTATTTTACATATATCAACATATTATACTATTATTATTTTACTATATTATATTATTATTAATTTTTTTTTTATCTTTTATTTTCATTTCTATTTTTATTTTATTTTATTTTATTTTTATTTTATTTTTTGAAAGCTTTGATCTCCCTTATTTTGAGCGTACACCCCGTCATGATACCCCGATTTGGAAATGTGTTTCAGCGGTTGCCGTTCGCCTTTAAGTGTAAGTCGTAAATCAATACTTAGTCTTAGCTGCTGGAACGTTCATGGGTTAACTGATCGTTTAAGATTTGGGAACAAATTAACAAATGAAGAATTCATCAATCATATAAATAAACATGACATTGTAATTTTAACTGAATCTTGGATGAAAGATGACGTGCAAATTCCTGGCTTTAACACTTTTTAAAACGCAGCCCAAAAAACTTACAAAAAGAAAACTGGAAGACTTTCAGGGGGTTTAGTCCTAGGGTACAAGAATTATTTACGAAGTGGCATTTCATTTGTTAAATCACATAATAATTATATCTGGTGTAAACTAAATCACACGTTTTTTAATTTAGAACAAGATGTTTATCTATGTGCCCTCTATATTCCTCCCCACGACTCACCATATTTTGACCCAGATTTATTCTCCAACATTGAAACAGATATAGCTTTATTTCACAGAAAAGGTTTAATTATGTTAGCCGGTGACTTTAATGCTAGAACTGGAAAAGAAAATGATTTTATCACGGATGAAAGTGGCAAGTTTATACCTGGCGGAGACATTCCTCCACCACCCAATCTCACTAAAAGACAGAACTTTGATAACATTGTCAACGATCATGGAAAACAATTACTTGATCTTTGTAAAACCTGTGATCTAAGGATTCTAAACGGCCGATCGAAGGGAGATACCCTAGGAAAATTCACATTTCACTCTATTAATGGAATAAGTACTGTAGATTATATTATCGTTAGCCATGACCTGTTCACTTCGGTTCAAGGTTTCGCCGTAAAGCAACCAAACATATTTTCAGATCACTCTCAAATTGTCTGCTGGATCAAAACTGGTGCAGACCTCTCAAATAATAATAACAGTTTTCAAGAGAGAAACAACGTTAAGCTTCCACAACAGTATGTCTGGGACGAAACGTCTGCAGCAAAATTCACTGCTGCCTTTCGTTCCGACGCTATTCTGTCTTTATTACATCTCTTCGAAAGTACAAACTTCGATTTAAGCAGTACAGATGTTGAAAATGCTACCAATCAATTCACAAACATTTTGACTGAGGTCGCAAAACGTTCACTCAAATTAAGTAGCCAAAAGAAATCTAAAAGAAAGCCAATTACTAAGAAGTGGTTTGATTATGATTGCAAAACGTTAAGATCTTCACTTAAAAAGTTATCTAACAAAAAACACCGCAATCCTCTGGATACCGAACTCAGAAAAGAATATCATGTTCAAAATAAAACCTTTAAAAAACTTATAAAACAAAAAAAACAACAATTTGTTGACTCTAAAATAAATGAGCTGATTAGTAACGAAAATAACCGCAAATTTTGGGATACTCTAAAGTCAATGAACGAAAACATCTTGTCTTATAATAATAACGAAAACCCGACCAATAAACTTTATGATCATTTTAAAATGCTACACTCAGCACCTGATCCTAATACATTATCGGCATTTCAAATACACATGTTAAACGATAAAAGGCGTTTGGAGGACAGCAACCATTTACAATCGGAATTAGACAACCCAATATCCATTGAAGAGATTGATAAAGCAATTAAAAAACTAAAAAACAAGAAGGCCGCTGGACTTGATGGAATACGCAATGAAATGATTAAAACAAGTTCAAGCTTTATAAAATATCCACTTGAGAAATTTTTTAATCTGATTCTACAATCTGGAACATTTCCTACATCATGGAGTAATGGAATAATCACTGCCTTGCATAAATCTGGAAACAAAGATGACCCTTCAAATTACAGAGGTATTTGCATTAATAGTTGTCTTGGCAAAGTCTTTTGTTCTATTTTAAATACGAGATTATTAAACTTTTCAAACAATCATAAAATACTTCATCGCTCCCAAATTGGCTTTGTGCCCGGACATCGTGCGTCCGAACATATCTTTAGTTTAAGAACATTAATAGACCAACATGTTACCCACTCCCCCAGAGGTAAACTTTATACTTGTTTTGTTGATTTTAAAAAGGCATTTGACTCAATTTGGCACCAAGGTTTACTATACAAACTGTTGAAATATAACATAGGTGGCTCCTTTTACAAAATAATTTCCAGCATGTATTCAAATTCAATATGTTGTGTGAAAGACAATTATACTCGATCAGAATTTTTCAACTATGATAAAGGTGTACGACAAGGCTGTATTCTGTCGCCGCTTCTATTTAACCTTTATCTAAACGAACTACCCCTCATTCTAAATAACAATGCTAAAGATTCTATCTTACTACCAGATGGTTCTCACTTCAACTGTCTACTTTATGCCGATGACTTACTTCTAATATCTACCTCGGCAGAAGGTTTGCAACAAAGTCTTGACAGACTATCAAAATATTGTCAGGATTGGCTTCTTAAGATTAATCCAACTAAAACCAAAGTTATTGTATTTCAAAAGAAAAGTAGAAAATCAGCAATAGATAAACACAATTTTATGGTTAGCAATGAAAACATTGAAATCGTCAATAACTATACCTATCTTGGAGTGAAATTTTCAGCCAATGGAAATTTTACAAATCACAAGGAAAACTTAACAGAAAAAACAAAGAGATCCTTTTTTGCCACTCGTCGTTATCTAGATTTTCTAAAATTACCAATTCACATCATCAACAAACTGTTCAATACACTATTTTTCCCAATTTTAACGTATTGCTCTGAAGTTTGGGGAATCTATGATAAAAGTGATTATAGCCGCTGGGATAAAGACTTGATTGAGAAAACGCATATACATTTTTGTAAGATGTGTTTAGGTTTAAACAAACGTTCACCGAATGTTGCATCGAGAAATGAGCTTGGTAGATTATCTCTAAATTTACAAATAACAATGAACATTTTCAAATTTTGGATTCACCTTGAAAATCAACCCCCTGACAGCATCGCTAAACTCTGCTTAAACATATCGGATAAAATGGCCGAAGAAAATAAATCAGGTCTAATAAATAAAATAAATCTTTTGAGTACACAACTTAATATTCACAAACAGTCAGTTAACTTTAAAAACCCTTCTACTTTCCTATCCAAAGTTGAGAATACTTTGTCAAAACATCTGAAAAACCACCAGCTAAATTTGATAAGAACAAATAAAAAACTAAAATTCTACTCCATCTTTAAAAATGAAACAAATCACTCTGAATTCATCAATCATATCCGGAATCCTGAACATAGGCGTGTAGCTTCCAAATTTAGGATAGGAAATCATAATTTAAAAATAGAAACTGGAAGATTTACAATCCCCAAAACTCCTGAAGACCTTAGAATCTGTGATCATTGCAGCCAAAATTCGGTTGAAAATGAACTGCACATATTATTTCACTGTGATCAATACAATGATTTGAGAAAGACTCTTTTTATTAAAATCAACGACCGAAATACATTATTTACAAACTACAATATCCATGATAAAGTCTGTTTTCTTTTTAACAATACTGATTCACATATCAGCAGGCTAGCTGCTAATTTCATCTTTCAAGCATTTGAAAGACGAAAGAAACATAGTTAATTCTACTATTCCATCATACCTGTATTTCCTTAAACTTAGCTGTTTATTATTGTTATTTTAATCGGTAACACCTGTACAAAATGGTAATACTGAATAAACTTGTTGTTGTTGTTGTTATGTAGGGCTATGTAGGGCTGTGTATGGCTATGTATGGCTATGTAGGGCTATGTACGGCTGTGTATGGCTGTGTATGGCTAAGTAGGACTCAGTATGGCTATGTAGGGCCATGTATGGCTATGTATGACTGTGTAGGGCTATGTAGGGCAGAGTATGGCTATGTAGGGCTATGTATGGTTATGTGGGGCTATGTAGGGCTGTGTAGGGCTATGTATGGCTATGTAGGGTTATGTATGGCTATGTAGGGCTATGTATGGCTGTGTATGGCTGTGAATGGCTGTGTATAGCTATGTATGGATGTGTAGGGCTGTGTATGGCTGTGTAGGGCTATGTATGGCTATGTATGGCTATGTATCGCTGTGTATGGCTGTGAATAGCTGTGTATGGATATGTAGGGCTATGTATGGCTATGTATGGCTGTGTATGGCTATGTATGGCTATGTATGGCTGTGTATGGATGTGTATGGCTGTGTAGGGCTATGTATGGCTATGTATGGCTATGTATGGTTATGTAGGGCTATGTAGGGCTGTGTAGGGCTGTGTATGGCTATGTAGGACTATGTATGGCAATGTAGGGCTATGTATGGCTATGTAGGGCTATGTAAGGCTATGTATGGCTATGTATGGCTGTGTAGGGCTATGTATGGCTATGTATGGCTATGTAGGGCTATGTATGGCTATGTAGGGCTATGTATGGTTATGTAGGGCTATGTAGGGCTATGTAGGGCTGTGTAGGGCTATGTAGGGCTATGTATGGCTATGTAGGGCTATGTAGGGCTATGTAGGGCTATGTATGGCTGTGTATGGCTGTGTATGGCTGTGTGTGGCTATGTATGGCTATGTATGGCTATGTAGGGCTATGTATGGCTGTGTATGGCTATGTAGGGCTATGTAGGGCTATGTATGGCTATGTAGGGCTATGTATGGCTATGTAGGGCTATGTATGGCTATGTATGGCTGTGTGTGGCTATGTATGGCTATGTATGGCTATGTAGGGCTATGTATGGCTGTGTATGGCTATGTAGGGCTATGTAGGCCTATGTATGGCTATGTAGGGCTATGTATGGTTATGTAGGGCTATGTAGGGCTGTGTAGGGCTGTGTATGGCTATGTAGGGCTATGTATGGCTATGTATGGCTGTGTAGGGCTATGTATGGCTATGTATGGTTGTGTAGGGCTATGTAGGGCTGTGTAGGGCTGTGTATGGGTATGTAGGGCTATGTATGGCTATGTAGGGCTATGTATGACTATATAGGGCTATGTACGGTTATGTAGGGCTATGTAGGGCTGTGTATGGCCATGTATGGCTGTGTATAGGGCTATGTATGGCTATGTATGGCTATGTATGGCTATGTATGGCTGTGTATAGGGCTATGTATGGCTATGTAGGGCTATGTAGGCCTATGTAGGGCTGTGTAGGGCTGTGTATGGCTATATATGGCTGTGTATGTGTGTGTATGGCTGTGTATGGCTGTGTAGGGGTATGTATGGCTATGTATGGCTATGTAGGGCTATGTATGGTTATGTAGGGCTATGTAGGGCTGTGTAGGGCTGTGTATGACTATGTAGGGCTATGTATGGCAATGTAGGGCTATGTATGGGTATGTAGGGCTATGTATGGTTATGTATGGCTATGTAGGGCTGTGTAGGGCTGTGTATGGCTGTGTAGGGCTGTGTATGGCTATGTATGGCTGTGTATGGCTATGTATGGCTATGTATGGTTATGTAGGGCTATGTAGGGCTGTGTAGGGCTGTGTATGGCTATGTAGGGCTATATATGGCTATGTAGGGCTATGTATGACTATATAGGGCTATGTATGGTTATGTAGGGCTATGTAGGGCTGTGTATGGCTGTGTATGGCTGTGTAGGGCTATGTAGGGCTATGTATGGGTATGTAGGGCTATGTATGGTTATGTATGGCTATGTAGGGCTGTGTAGGGCTGTGTATGGCTGTGTAGGGCTATGTATGGCTATGTATGGCTGTGTATGGCTATGTATGGCTATGTATGGTTATGTAGGGCTATGTAGGGCTGTGTAGGGCTGTGTATGGCTATGTAGGGCTATATATGGCTATGTAGGGCTATGTATGACTATATAGGGCTATGTA